AACTTCTTTAGCCGGAGTTTGTCGGTAGCTTTTTCCTATCGTCTAAGCTTTTATGCTTTCCGTGTGCATCTGTTTACAAGTCTTGTCCTTTATTTTGTGCAAAAAGAAGAAACAGTGTTCCCCATGCGCCGAAATTGAGGCAGGCAGTAGTGACTGAGAATTTTCTCATTTTAAAGAATGCATTTTTGGCGCAACTGTGAACTGGCTCCTCATTGGCTCAAGCGCTCTTCAGTCGTTTTGTGCGGCTCTCGTTTCCACAGTTCCACAAGTACACAGCTCTCTAGTGAAGCGCTTTACACTTAAACTCCTCCCACGATGAACAGCGCTTCCACGTCGCTCCACGCATGTGTCCTCACAGCAGGTGTAACTTTACCCTGTTTTTCCAACAAATCACTCAAAGTACATCCACTTGTCTCCACTAGCTATGTGGCTTAGAAAGTCATCCTACCAAAGCTTTCTAATTTTTTTTCTATTGTTTAGTACATAAGATCAATCGTTCTTCTAGTCGTTTTTCAACTTAGTGTTCCCTAACGCTGATAAATTCAAAACTGCTTGTTTTAGTAGTACTGTGCCAGCCTTCGGAGCGTCTCTCATATTTTAAGTTGCGTGTTTCTGAGGGAGGGCTGTTGTTCGCCCCCTAAAGCAAATCCAGACCTCAGTGTGCCTAATTTCACATTGTCGCGTCGTAAAAAACAATGTCGCCTTGCATTACTTATGCTGCTGTCGCAGCTTAATATTTAACCATAGGGTTGCGACAAGAGACCACAGCAATTCCAGTATATTTTTGTTGCTTTAGTGACTGACAGTTATACCTCAAAAGCAAAATTCCATTTCTGGTGACTTTGCATTTTGTTGGCTTTTAAGGCCTTCCAAATGCTTGCCTAAGTGTTTGCCAGTGTCAGTAACATCTAAACTGAGAGTAAAATGAATTCCCTATGTAGGCTTACGCAGTGGTCAATTGTATTAAGGCAAATTCAAAGCTGTTCTTTTGTAGATTAGGCTGCCCCCTAGATACCTATTCAGATAGCTGAGAAAGCCAGGAGTAAACTTATGTTGACATTTTCGGTGTTGATTCAGGATTTTCCAAATCGGTACTTGCTAGGTCTGTTCAAGTTGTAAATATGGGCTGTCGTGTGGCATAAGTTTCTGCCTGTGTCAACAACCCTAAAGTGTACCTCTTAATTTTCATCGTTCAGTTTGTCATTAGCGATCTCCTGTTAACTACTGGAGGATCCACACTCCACATAACACGAACAACTTCTCTGAAGGAATACTTGGTATACGCTGTGTGTGGGTTTTCTGTTTACTTCGCTGCTTAACGGTCGTGCAGTTCGTTATTTAGTGTTTGCATGTGTTTGTCTACGTGCCGATTTGGTTGTCTAAATTGGGAATATAACTAGAATGGTTGGAAAAATTGCCAACTCAGATGCAAACAACAACATTTTCGTCTTGTGTGTGTGTGTTTCGTGTGGCTCGCAGACCCTAGCTGTCACATGGAATGTTTCTTGCTGTCTGACGCGTCATCTTCTTGGGGGTATTCTGACTCATGTGCGTGAGTCATTTAAACGTCCATAATGGCACGTACCCTTATTTATTCGATATAGCTAGGTTTGATCTCACACAAAAGCAGCGATTGTCAAACATTCATTGGTCTGACTTGCAACGAATGCAAAGCCTCTCTGAACATTCAATTTTAATCACATGCGCGCGTTTGAATTCATCTCTGTGTCCGTAACATCGAGGGTTCACTTCCGGCCCCATTCGTTTGTTATTATTTGAAAAGGTTCAGCTCAAGTACTTCGTCTGGTTAAATGACAGTTTCGCCCTTCAACTTGCTACTTAAAGCAGCTTTATGGAATTCGGTATAGAGTTTAATTAGGAACCTGGGGTGTTGGATCAATGTTATGTTATCAGCCTCCGTAAATGAGTGATTTTTAATCTAGTGTTTGTGCATATAATTCGATGACTCACAGCTGCGTTTGTCCGCGCGACGTTGCGGTCTCTCGCTGAGGTGAAAATTGGTCTGATAACGTCCGGGCCAGATTGTGGCCTGTCACCAAAACCAGTGTGTGTGCGCGTCTATGTGCGCCTGCGCTTTGGCGAATTCCTCGAGGTATTCGTGACTGAATATTACTTCTGTTGGCGGTTAATTTTGGTTTTGCGAATTGTCACTTGACTTAAAAGGCAAATACATTCGCAGCAACATAACGATTTTAACAAAAGTCGCCGAGTGTAGATCTAATGTGCTTTCCATAATCTACGATTCTGTAAAAATGACTAATCTTCCGAAAATTGAAATAACGTGGATTTAAAGATGCCGAAAATCGTGAAAATTAGTTTCCCTCCAGATTCACTTTGTCATAGTGCTTTAATTCGCTGTTGTGACTTATTCTAGGTAGCCCTCTGTATGACAATTCGGTTAGGCGATTCAATAAATTAAACAGGCGTTGCAATGTTCCTATCCATTTTAATGTTGAAATCAGTGCTTTATTCTGCAATCGATCAAAAAACCTTCCATGATTGTGTGCTCAGTTCAACTTTGCTTGCCACTACTAATTGCAGTATGTTTACGTATCCTTCATGTTGTTCAGTATTTATCCAGTTGAAAACATGCCCTAAACACAGAATTTCATGTTAAAAAACCTTCTATTATTGCTAAAATGCATAACATTTCCAAATGTGGCGTTACACACCCAGAGATGTAAGATGCAAGTAGATATTTGGTCCTAAAATGCCAAATGTGAACTGCCGCAGTTTTGAGTTCTGATTAATGAAATATTGTGTTAACGCCCGTAATAAATTATGTGTAGCGTTTGGTGTAAATAAAGTAGCGAAATAATCGTGTGAAACTTCGCTACAGGACGCACATAGATCCTGTAGGTAATCTAGAAGTCGAGCTGTCATCGACGCTGCATGTCCACTTAGTTTTGTTTTTCATGTAATGCCAATTTTAGTGTCTGCAATCTCCTCGCATTGAGTGACAATGCTTCATAGTAGGTAGAAATTTCCACACTGTGCTTTGCCTGCCGTCAATCAGGCGTTTAGAAAATTTGTAGATCTATTTATTATAGCAGTTGCTAGGACCAACATGAATGAGGGTGCGCGTTGTTATGGGCCTTGCATTATACACCGGTAGCATGTGTGTCGTTGATTTAATGTCTGAACGCAAAACAGAAAATTTACTGTGTTTGTAGCTTAGTGAAATTTCTTAACTGCATTCCGGATGCGTGGCACTGAAAAACGCTACCTCGTCCGTCTTTATCGAGGAAAAAAACTGTATTCTGGAGATGCGATCTGATTGTCAGTGAACTTGTCACCCAATTGAGGGGACACTGTTCCTTTTAGTCGTGGATTCGATAGGGTTGGCTGTTAATTGTCAATAAAAATTTTATTTTTAAGGGCTGTTCGTCTTCATCGATATTAACAACTGCGCTGCTCACCCCTTCATTGCGTTGTAAATTATTAATAAGTCACAATCATTATTGCTTGATTGCTTTCAAAAAGCCTGCTTCTGTTGGTAGCGTTGCAGTACCTACCCTTACAGGCAATTCTATACGTGTCTCCTGGCTCAAAAATTTGTATACGATTATCGACAAAAGACGCAATCGCTACATCGTTCGCAAAAACCCACAACATTTGCCATTCCAACCGTGTGTTTTGTGTTTCTGTCGGTATCACCCAGCTGTGCTGTGTTGTTTATTGCTGCTGCGCCAATGGCCGCCCATTTGAATAGCTAACCAATAGATTTGTTGTGACGCATGCTCCCCAGAATACGATCGTGCGCCTTCCTGCTTCCGCGCAACCTATTTTTGCTAAGTGCGCACATTCGCTAGCCTCTCACACCTCTCCCTTTGTGCTGTACCTCCAGTCACGTCCACGTCATCGACTTTTTGCCTTAGTTTCCTAGTTCGCCTAATCCTGATCATGGGTGTTAGCTTCTTTACTCTTTGCTTTTAATCATGATTTAGAAGTACATATAGCAATTTCATTGGAAATTCATCACGACCGTTAAAAGCTGAGGTCATATTTCAATTTCATTACGGTAAATAGAATAGAGGTCAATGTTTTTCGTGCTCGATTGTCAAAACTGAAGCTAAGAAAACGACGGTCGCATCATTGATGATGGGATTAGGAATTATGCTATGGTGACGGGCTTATTGAAACAGGAAATTTGCTGTCACTCGGTGAAATGTGAGTTTTACTGCTGTAAAACCGCCAATTTGGTGAATTAGGATGGCTTTCTAGGCCAAACAGAACGTTTTGACAACCTGTTTTGTATGTAATACGAAAGCTAATCCATATGTAAGAATAATGTTTCAAAATTGCACGCAAATCCCTAGAAGTCGTTAAAAATGTATTTATATAAATTTCGAAGCGTTCCATTGACCGCAGTGACTGTGTCGTTAGCAATTAGCAACTGCTTTTTCAGGAAAATGTGCTGTTTTTGTGTGGGTGTTTTGAAAAATGCAAGAGTGTATTTTGGTTGGTTAACCTCTATTCTTGCTGTTTGTTTGAAATTACATGAAAAAATCGGCCGAACCGATTTTCAGGATAATGTCACGCGCCTTCTCGGTTTTTCTCGAAGGCGTCCTTTTGCCTTTAGCGTTCTGATATCTCGCTTACCGCGTTTGTACTTTTCCACCAGTTAAATAAGAAGAAAACGGGTTAATTAACACGTCTCACCGGTTTACCAGTGTCCGTGTCATATCAGGTCAACCAGACTTCAGCACTGACTGCGCCTTTGAAAGTTATTCGCTCATTACTGTCAGTGCGAATGCGTAAATCGGCGGTCATATTCACCAACCTTGGCGATCTTCCATCGACCCCTTAAAACTGGTCAATCAATTAATCCTTTCAATTAGTCGGCCTTTTCAGTTGTGGATTCGCAAAGCGAGCTCCATAGGATTTGTCTGAAACATTTTCTATTCAGAATTAAATAAACTGTCGAGCCAGCAGCGATATTTACGTAAACCTTCTTTGTTAATTATCAAATTAACATCATGCAGGATTCGGACGTCTCATCGGTGTCAACACGCCTGCATGAATTACGATCCAAGTCCGCGTTGATCTCTGAGATCCTCAAAGCAGCGGTTCTTCGTTACAACAAGTACAACCCCACTGTTTCTCCAATGCCTTCAACGATTACCCTGGCGTCGCCGCCGTCCCCACTCCCTTCAAAACCCACCACTCCGTCAGCAACGACGACTCAGGAACCTGCCCACAAGTCTCCTTCGTCTCCAAATCCCGGACTTTGTTTCCACACGCGTAGAATCACGGCAGCTGGCTCGGAGCAGTGCCTTTTGTGTTTGGTCAAATCGGAGGACGCAATCCTCTATCAGCCCATCCCACCACGCCATCGGTGTCGAAGCGAGTCGACAGCAACTGTGAAACCCGTCAAATGGGCGGCACCGTCCAGGCCGAACGCGGGAATCTGCAGAACGCAGGTAGCTTCCAATGCTTCCGCATGGTCTTTTGCGGTGGAGATGTGTTCAGGAAACGCCACTCCTGTCAGAAGCGGCTTGCACCTCGCGTCTGCCGTGAAGAAAGGTCAAAGTCAATTTTGGCGCCTGACACACGGCAACTCGACGTCTCTTACTTCGCGTAAGTCTCCACGATGGCCACACTCTGGCGAAACTTCCACTGGGCCTGCGCTACGTAATTTTTCTTGGCGTTTTTACGATCAGGACTTCTTGGTCAGTTTACACGAACTATCAGCACAGTGGTCCTGGTTACAAGCCGCTATTCAGAGCTATAATCTCTGTGGTAAATTTCACTGCCCACAGCATTTTATTAGTTGAAGTAAGTTCATATTTTCGTGAGAAATAAAGCTAATCCATGCGATCACGTGATTCAGCCAGTAAGTTTTCAAGACAAGGTCGTAGACACGCTAACCAAGCTGCTTAAATGTAACGCAAACTTTTAATTTTTCCAATTTTCATGCTAATTTTATAAAGAAGTCAAAATAGATTTGAAGAGCTATTTGTACAATGCAAGCACCGTCACAAGAATGAAATGTTGTAGTTGTGGGTTTCTGGATCGTTATTTTTTTTACATAAATAGAATCCAGTTTAATTAAGCTAGACGTTATTAAGGAAAATTCCTAGCAAGAATGACCCGTGGACAGCCTCAAGTGTGTTAAATTGGCCTTTCTGATTTCCGTCTCCATAACTTGCTTCTCTGAGCGTGTATACCGATCGGTTTAAAGCAGCTTGAACAGGCTAAACGTCTGGTTGTTGCCGTCGATGCAATATCGACTTAAAACTGGGCCGATAGAACAGCCGTTGATTCGAGTTGGAGTGAGTAACCCTTCGTTAACCGACCAGCCATCTAGGAAAGGTTGTGCAGTTTAGAAGGTGGTTCCTAAAAGAAATGGCCAATCATTGCCTTTTGAGTCTTTTCCGGAAGTTCATGCAATTAAAGCGCAATCAGAAGGAACTTTCTACCCACGAACTATCACTATTTGCCTGTCGAAATAACAATTTATTTTGAACAATGTTTGACCTCGTGGTGTAATCGGCCAACCTATTCCTGTTTCACTGAACCAACTAAAGACTCGAAGTAGAAACACCAGAAACTAAATTTACTTTTCAACTTACCTAAAAATTGATGCCTTTTTTTTCTATTCTGCTCCTTTCTGCAAACCAATTCTATGAAATGTCACATTAAAAAAGGTTTGTCCACCGGACCACACATTGGCCTCATGAAAGTGTAAACCGTAACCAAAAAAGACCTTTTCTAAAGTTCAAGTCCTGCTTTCTTCTTTGTTAGTTTTTGTACAAAAAAATGTTCATCTGATGCATTTTAGTTCAAAAGTAGTACCGTATCCCGTGAATGTCGGTATGGCCGGCAACAAAGTTTTTCATTAAATATGAACTGCGTTTTTGCTTTGCACGGCTATCGTCAAGATTCCCATCATGCGTACTTAGTTATCTTTTTTTTCAACCTGACACAAAACCACCTAGACCGGCGCCATACCCGATTCTACATTGTTATTCCAATAGGCTGTGGTATACGCCAAACGCACACAACTGAGGTTATGTTTGTGTGCATAATGAAAGGTCTATGTCCTTCATTATCTGTTATCGTTATCTAGTTTGTTTATTTAAAACCTCTTTTCACGAATAACCTTTCATTTAGGGAGTAATTTAGCCATGCATTACTGACCACCTTGCTGATCATGTGACTTGTATTGCACTATGTGCATTCGTGCCTCTGGTCAAATTTGGCTGATGCATATTTTTGGGCTATTTAGTAATGTTCATATCCTGTAATTTGCTAATTAGTTCAGCTTTCGAAACAAGAGTTCAAAGGAAAGGCCTTTAAATCAGACAAAGTCGCTATTCTGTCTATTTGTAGAATCATGCAGTCAAACGGAGTCACCCCTAACGACACCAAGTTCACCATCGTTGCCACTCTTTCATCGATCAGCAAAACTCGTTGCTTGCGTAGCACCCACCACCGCTACAACTGGCGTCTCAACTACCGGTCCACCGTCCCAACGATCTCCTCCCGAGGCTGCCACAAACCCCCAATTTTGCCAAAAAGTCGTTCCTCGGCCCACTCTCTTTGCAGTTCTTGAGGAGGCAGAGAACAGTGACGTAGAAGGAATCTTTGCTTCCGCCAATGAGCAAACGCAGGGCCTTGTACTTGCCACCTCTCGTGCAGATGTGGGCCCTCTTCTTGCCCGAACTACATGCAGCGCTGAAGGCGTCGTCATCCGATGCGACCGCTCTGTCGACGCACGTGCCCAAACTCGCGATTTTGCTGGCTCCCCACTCGGTGACGAGGACACCTCTTTCGCAGACGAGGATCACACAGATGCCGAGGGTCTTGAACTAGACGACGATGGTGTTTATTTTGCCTCAGACTACGTCAATCAAGTCGTTTTTCCAGACGACGAAGACGAGGTTTCTTGCGAGTTCACACTTCACCGACGATCAAAGAGCCAAGATGTACACCACAGCGAAGGTCTCTCCAATCTTGTTGCCCTGACAAACAGCATTTCTGATGACCTACTTCAGCTTGAGTCAGGTTGTCAAGAACTGATTCACCGTGTTCACGCCAACAGAATTGAGCTTGACAAGGTTAACGATCGCCTGAGTTTTGTGTGGGACAACAAGGATGATTGCCGTCCGCCTTCAATGAACTCAGTGATGGAAAATTCGTGGAGTAGCGACTACACCCATCGGTATACCCCACTTGGGAGGTCTTTCATCTCATCAACTGGTTCCTGTGTCTGCAACTGTCAAAAGGCGGAAGAAGTCGGGAGTTCACAATTCTACCACGCTGCGTGCGACGAGGAAGTGGAGGCAGCTTCTGCAGTCAGTGGCACAGTCTTGTCCGACCTCACTCTCGGCCGATCTGAATGCACATGTGACGAAAATTCCATCCAACCTGGTAAAATATAATTTCTTGTTTTATTTTGGCTTTTTTTCTTAAAGCAGGAAATAATTACGCGCAAGAATAACTAATTTATGTTGCTTAACTAGGTAGAAGGTTTTACCACATTGTACTACATTGGTAAATGGCTGGAATACGTACTTTTAGCGTTAGGTTCATAGGCATGGGAATTTTGGTACTTAAGATTGGATCCAGTGTTGCAAATACCTGCGTTACTGACGCTACTGATGCGTTTATTTTTATAGAATCACATGAATCACTCACAGATGTGCATTTGTTAGGTTGTATTACGCATAATTTACCAAGCGTTACAAGCAGAAAGTAATGACGTAAAGTTTATTGACTGTTAAATTCATTTCAATTCACAATTGACGAAGCAAGTGGCTTTCAATTTTTATTAAATATTCTCCGAAGTACATGTTGGTTTCGACCTGATGCGTCATTATCCACTTTTACGTGTGCTAGAATTCTCGTACTGTAATGAATACATTGCATTTTCAGGAGGCGAACCAATATCCGAAGCAAGTGAGACTTAGTTGGGCTAGGTTGTGTTAAGGCAAAGTTTTTGCTACAAAAGATTTTTCCGAGTTAGTTAAAGGTTTCAAATCTCTATTAAATTGTCCCTTCTTCAAGGAACAGCTTTTGTTAGCCACCGATAATTTCTCCGCTACAACACGCAGGGTTTAAGGCGAAGTGAAATGGCCTAATTGGGGAGTTTTGTGTCAGAGGTGACGGCAAACGCTCTAGCTCTGTGATTAGTCTTGCAAATTAGTAGAACCCTGCGTGTCTGCGTGTAACTAGATTGCTGATTCTCACGCAAGCTCTCTTCAAAGAAGGAAAATAACTCCACGTAATCCTGAATCCCGGTAATCATGACCTGTGTCACGACCGTTTGTGTTAAAAATTGGTGTTTTTAGTATAAAAGGCTGCGTTATTCCTAATTGGTCAGCTCCCTCATGACGGCGTCAAGAAGTGGTCTTTTTTACGAGTTTCCAAATTCCTCTAAACGAAATGTTGAGTCCACTTTCGAAAGCGTACAGGTTTTCAATTGCGGTTATGGGCAATAGAGAAATGATTAGAGTCAATTTGTGCATCCTGTTACATTTCCTGTACTTAAACTCCATTTTAATAAAATCGTAGTCTTTAGAACTTTAATAACTGCAGACTAACCTTGGAAATTTGTACACAGCCTTCAAGAAACCCAGCCTCACCACAGTGACGTAAGTATGGTGGCTTTACCTCATCTTTGAAGGTTCCAGTAACCCTGTCTTTCCGATCGGCAAACTACTTCCTTTTAGCCTACTCATTCAGCACTTTTTATATTTAGCGTTTCTTTATGCACATCCTCGTGTCAAACTTTAACTCTCATCCCTGTCTGATTAGCCCTTGTTCGCAAGACATTGGAACAACTATTATTATAAATCTCTTTATGTGTCCGGCTTGATTGAAAAGTCAAACATGTACAACTGGATTTGACCTTAAATAAGTTTAGCTTCGTTGCAGAAGAATTTTGAAAAGCTTAATCGGTGTCTCTCAATGATTACACATTACAACGCCTCACCAAGAAATCCAGAAGACTCCAGATTTCGGTACATTGTCAAGAATACCTCCGTTTGCGCGTAAATTCCTCTGAAAGTGAAATTTGGAGCAATCCCTATCCTTTGGCGTCAGCCGACTTAAACGCACCGTGATTTTTGGCTTTTGTGAATGTAGCTCCTGACGTCAACCAATCAATGAATCCATTTCGCCGTGTTGAGTTAATTTCTGGTATGGTTACCGCGATGGCTTTTTGACACATACTTGCGTCGTAGACAATGCTCTTCAGCTGCGCACATCTCGATCGTATCAGCATCGCAAGCATGTTGACTCACTGCACATTTCTAATTGGTTGAAGTTAATCAAACTATTCGTCGTGTGGCGTGATTTTTGCATTGACTGCGATTAAGTTAGCGTTGGCTTATTTTCAGTGTTGCCTCAGCTTTTTACCGGAAAGGTCGGAAAAGCTCAGTATCATCTCCATTTTTACCACTTTTTTCTTCGTACCATGCCATTTATTGGTGCGTGAAATCACCCACCAGCGAGGTGAACCCGTGTTAGAAGGAAGTGTTTGTGTCCGGGGCATGAGAGTCACACAGTTGAATGTCCCTCTCGCACACCTCTCATTGGCTGGCCTTGTGCCAACTCACTCATTTGCAATCAAGGGTATCTACAGCCTTGTCTTTGTACTTATCTGATCCTGTACTAAGTGAGTGCGATGTAATGTGAGTGCCTAAAGCATTCTATCAATTTCTAGCTTACATGTCAGTCAACTCAATACCTAACTTCCAATAAATTCAGATTTACTTGATTTAGGAAGCCATCACCTAATCTCACCCCTGCCAACGCTGGTAAATTAGCTCGGAATTAAGTTAATTTAACGGTAAATTGTCTCTTTTTTTCAAGGACGCCACAATCCAATAGCACGCTTTTCCATTTCAGACTCTACCATCGAGAATGACGATAATGTTGAACGGCGTGAAATTAGGCCTTTTGAAGCCACCCTTAATCACACCTGTCTCCGGCCCAAATCCACCGAACTCAGCCATCTGCGCCTTGCCAACTAGAGATTATCATTCATTTATCACCCTCTCCATGAAACTGTACACTACTTACAATTTTATTAGTAGCATTAGCATATGAAGAGCCAACCACAGCCTGGGCGACAGCCGCGCAATTTCGTCTGTTTTGTTCAATACCGCAACTGCAAACGCCTCCTTTAAGATGGCGACGTCAATGGTTGCAGTATTGTATTTCGGTGTGGCGGCCTGGCACCCGTGGTAGGCAGGATTCGTCTGTTTTTTTCCTTCAAATGTTATTTTTTTTATTTGTGCATTTTCTCAACGCCTTCCATTCTATGCAGCCTTAGCGAATTTCGATTGGTCGCTGGTCAGTTTAAATTAACTGCCACACATGAGCTGCTCTTAAGAAACCAAATCACAGTTATAAATTAGGTAGCTTGGCGACAGGAGCCTGCGCGTAAATTGCCCCATCTATCCATTATATCCGCTGTAATGTAACAAATTCATTAAATCCGCTCTAATGAACTTGTTTTCCAGCAGTAGTTAGACGCGGCCTTTTTGTCAGTGCCACAGTTTGCTAATGGAAGCGTCAACGCAGGTCAGATTTACCTGTTTTTTTAAGATTGAAGCATTTGGAATTGTTCTGAGGAAAGTGCATTCGAAAGAGCCGCAGGTTTTGACTCGAATAGACCGTTTTTAGCCTTCTTTAATGCTAGCCAAGCTGTATGAAAACCGTTAGTTTGAAAATCAGGTCCGAAGCGGCTAGAGACTTAGCACTACCTTTCAATCCTCTAGTTAACGGCCCGTAACAACCCGAGAATGGAGTGAAGAGAGGCGACAGAGGACACTACCGTTTATTGGCGTCACGCCAGCCAGGTGTGTCTTAGTGTGCGGACGAGTGAACTGATGACAGGCCTCTGATAACAGTAACCAATGAAAGGGAGATGAGTCATTGTCACCGTCAGGTCAGTAGACATGGTTCACTCGTGTGCGATCGCTGTTAATGCGCTACAGGTAAGTGGTGCACCTGTTCTCGTAGACAGTTCAACAATAAAGTTGCCGACTTTCCCTCCTAGCAGCAATGAGCTTTCCAAGCTAGGTGTGTTGTGTCCCAAATTAATAGATGTTGCTGAAAGGTCAATTTAGCCACTCATACATAATGCTACACTTTAGCAACAGAAGTCTAGCTAAATGTAGCTGAGCACGCACGTCACCTACAGACCTGTCAAATCGATGCGAACACTGCAGGCAGATTCATTATTATCACAGCGCATCATTTAATGAGCTGATTTGTTTTCCAAAAGAATCGGGGGGTGTCGAGGGAAGTCTTGAAGTGACCTTAAACCCAACTCCATCTCCCCAATTACTGGAACTGGTTAAGCGGATTGCACGGACGTCGTGCAAGGTCGCCTTACACGATTTCAACCTGCGTTGTGTTCTTCCGTGTTTGGTTTTATTGCTTTAAAGGGTAGTGAGGCGGACGTGCCTACAATTCTCTACAGGAAGTTGCAGGGTCTGGAGTTAAGAAACCAAGTCATTGGTTTTCGTCTTCTTGGTTTTTTTTACAACTCGACTTTGCCAAGTATGTCAACAATTTCAAATAGAAAATATCTTACTGAAATCGGTTATTCTTTCTAAATTATTCCAATTTTAAGCTCAATCACCCAATTGTTTGCCTGGTTTGAATCGCCAACTCTGTTCAAGATTAAAATTCCACATTACTTACATAATCTTTTGCTAAATGTAATATATCATTGCGCTTACTGGGCTCTAAGTAGTGTCTTGATGTTTGCTGAAATGGAGTTGAACATTAATTTTGCGCGTGAAGATCGCTTAACTCCTTGCTGTCACCAACGTGAGAAATATCACGATCGCATTTAGTGGCGCTTGCTACATGGCAATAAGGTGGATTAAGCCGGGTCACAATAGCTCCATTTCAGGCCATTTCCAGAAGATGGATGGGTCTAAAATCGAGGCGTTTTGGTGTCGTCTTGATTTGGCTCGTTGCTCCTGGCGGACTGTGTGATTTAGTGGCAATGGCATTGCGTGGTTCTCAAATCCCTTATTGACGATGGAATGTGAGCTATGGAGGATGCATTTGGGCAATGTGATTAGTAGGAAGATGTTCTGCGGACTGACCGCTTTGTATCGCCAAGAAAACTTCAAGCCTAAAGTTACTACCGTGACTGAAAAAGTTAAGGCAACTTGTAGAGTCTGTTGAAAACTAAGGCTTTTCATGTGGCCCAAGGTTGTTTCTTTGTCGAAAATCATCCATGATATATAGAGTGATTGTAGGTAAGTCGAATCGAATTCATCAGCAAAATGTCTGGCAAATTGAGCAATGTCCACATTCATCCAATCATATCCACTCGGATGCAGCTTTGATATCTCCAATAGAACTGGGTCTTTATAATGATATCGTGCTAAACAGAATAATATAATAACAATGATAGCCATTAAATTGCGACGAATTAAGTCTGGATTCATTTTGCTGTGCCATTCCATATCTAGATCCTCAACTAGCCCAATAAATTTAAAAGCCTAATTTAGTTTTTTATAACAGTTAAAAGTCTTTCACCCTTTTTTAAAGCAGTGATTAAAAGCTACACATTCTGATGTATTTAACAGTCAATCCGTCCAAGTTGAAGATGTCGTAAATCGTGTTGATTCACGTCCAATATCTCGGTCGTCGCAGCCACACACACACGTCCTCCTTTTCCTCTTATTCATGTGACATTTCATGCGTTTGTATGTTTACTAGTCCACTCAACTGTAGCAGTCAACACAACACAACCAGGTTGAGGTGTCGAGTAAACGGTTGTGTCCCATCTTCTCCGGTCTTCTTCATCGTAGCGGGTACTCAGGGTAGGGCAGTCGGTCTAGGTTGACGCAGTGACCCCGGCGTGCTTGTAGGCCACATGCCGGGGCCCCCAGCAAAGAATTCAGGGTACAAATTAGATTCAAAGACGTCCGGTCAAGTAAACTCCGAGATTTCCAAAACTATGTGATATTATGAACATGAATGCATAGTCTGGAGTTATTTTTGAAATTTAATTATAAACACGCGACCGAATCGATCGCTCGCATATTTCAAACCCGTGGTTTAGCACGCTGTATGAGTGGAGAACTTGGGATGAGAAATGATGCCGACAGTGGCGGGAAGACTGCAGGCCACCAAGTAAGATTTTGTCGCATTCGGGGCACTTAGCTGGGCAAGTAGGATCCGCAGCACAGTCCACAGAACCTTTCAAGCAAGACAGACGACAATTGCTCACAAAAGCTTGATAACTCGAGCAAAAATGAAACTGAGAACAAGGCTGCCCCTAACAAAAAGCAGTGTTTTCCAAAGCGCATTCTTGATGTTTACTCACGCGAATGCAAAAGACTGAATGCTATGAAGAAGGTACGTGCAATGTCCAGCACTAATGTGTACTTTTATTTGTCTGCTTGAAACGACGCAGTCACTATAAACGTCGATCCTTTGTAGAATTTCGATGTATCAACCTCTTTTTAGCGAACTCGCCCGACTGTACTCGAGGTGGGTTGTAGGCATTCCCGGTCTGACTACACTTCCTTCACAAGTTCACTTATTTCTGCAGCATAAATACAAAGGTAGCAATGCGTAGTTGTTTAGAAGGGCCTTTTCAACCCATGTATCATTAACAACAATGCCTTTTGAAAGTAGTGATGCAAACGAGTACCACATATTTAATTTAATATAGCCTGGCTTTTTGTTTCACCTATCACAACCAAGTGCTCATTACACTGCTTTAGATAATGTAAATTGTGGAATCCCTTTGAGGTCAGTGGTAAAGTATATTGGACAGAGATGTACCTTTTGTTATAAACTATGGCATTTCTACATAGGCGCAAATGACTTATCTAAACATGCTTGTTGTCTGCCAGTGTAGGTTTACAAACAAAGGCTTTCTATCTGCAGTCTCTCTGATTAAACGCAAGGGTTTAAATTTCATGCTTTGCTTCATCCTCGAAAAAATGTTTTTTTTTTTAAATCTATTTGTGGTAAATTCAAAAACAGGGACCAACACTAGGACACAAACTTATTGATTAAAAGAAACGGTATGGTGATTAATAGGGTACTTTATTGCTTTTGGTTAGCTAAGAATGCAGATTCCTCTAACTCCTCCTCACAACATCCTTGCAAAATCGACAGTTTCTTTTCAAATGATAAACTGCACTGATTACTTTAAGGTTCACTACGACTCTGGCCGATGGTTTTTAATAGCCGCTGAGATTTTTCAACTTTTCACATCCCACTGAAAACTGCTTCCATGACTTCCGCGGGCACAAAAAATATCTTTTAGACAATCCTGGGTTGCTCATTTTACCCTCACTTTGAATTAATGTCAAACCTACCCTTTCTTAAGTACATTTGTTTTGGTTTATCACTTTAATAATTGGGCAGCTGCTATTGTAAAACAGCAGCTGGTTACATGTCAATTATATTTGTCAACATCCATTAATGTGATTTAATCCTGTCTTACACTGTCAGATCTGGTACAATGCAAAGGCTTTTAAATTTTATGAACTAATACTTTTTTTCAGTTCACAGTAATCAAAGTATTTGTGAAGAACAGATAAATGACATTTCTAAGGGCTAATAGGTCATTGTATTTTAAAAACGAATAAATTGTCCAAAGTCACTTAACCATTTATGGGCATGAAGGGTTGCAATACATTTGTCTTAAATAAACCTGTAGTCCTTAATCATCTTAATACAATATGTATAAATTGCCAAACGTTACGTGTTTATTATTTTACCATAAGTCAGCACTCCACAGACATATGACGTTATGCACCTCAAAAAGAAATACAAAACATGCCGAAGTGTAAAAGCGCTTAACTTCTTAGTGCATTCATGGTGTGCATTGGGATTTGTCCTTTAGCCATTTGATTAATTTTCAAAAGATGCATCTGGTGGTGAAGAATAGCACGCTTCCAAAAGGGCATCAAGTTTCCGCCAGAGGTGTTGATCAGGACTGTGAGTTTTGCAAATGGAGTTGATCGGGATATCTGCGAAACCCGGTCGTTTTAACAAATCCTGGCCTTAGCACTAAATGGAGGTTTGGCTTCGTGGTATAAGCTATTGAAGGTTGTGCTGCTGCATTTCATTTTGCCATAAATTTCGGTTTCTTCACCACTTACGATGCATAACGACGAAAAAGTGGCGTATATAAACATTAAATGCTCTCCGAAGCTAAAAATGTTCAAGGGGCAAAAACTCGTCTTGGGGATGTTGCATTTCCAGTAAGTCCCTAACAAAGCACAATGATGGTCAAGCGCCAGCTGCTTAAGGTTTATTTCGCTTAGTAAAATTATTTTTAAGGTCCACATCCTTTAGATAGTAGTTTGAATACCATGGACACAGCGAAAGGTTCTTTTTTCTCCAGAAATACCCCCCAAATTGCCATTTTTTCTGTCCTTGGTGTCTCCAATTTACTGTTACGGTAGGGCGTCCACCTTACAACTTTTAGAGAATTTGACTATACGGATCCATCTTTACCAGTGAGTACATGGCCGCATTTAGAGATTGTATAGCTTAGCAACTTTTAAACTGATAAAATCCAAAGCAAGTAAGGCGAATTGTTTTCGACAACAGGCTTCTACCGACACGGCTACATACAAGGTTCATTAAAACCACGTAATTTGTGCGGTTCCCAGAGCCAGTTTCAAACAGGAATTCGGAATATCAACGCGTTGCCAGTAAACGCTTGCGGTCGTAATCGAGTTTATTGCGCTTATGCTAATGCACATTTAGCATTAAGTAAATATTAACTTCTTAAATGCAGAAAAAATTAGCCATCGTTTCCACAAAGTCTACACTATCTGATTAAAAGGGCATTCGTTGTTTGCCGATTCTTACACACACATATCGGAAACTTGCTTCTTCCAGTCCTCCGTAATCAGATTAAAAAAGCACTGTTAGAGGCAAAAGCGTCACATGCTTCATTAAGAAACGTTACTAGTGGATCCAGCGCACAGTAGGTATTTTGTTCAAATTGTTCGTCAGTATGCTTTACTGTAGAAATTAGCATTGTACTGTATTGCCGGTGTCGAAGGCGATAGTGCAAGCACCAGTTAGCTTGTATCCTAACGAATCTTTCTAGAACTGGTTACCTTCCACTGAGTCCCAGAGTTAGGTTGAAAGACAACGCAGGAAGATGAATGAAGCAGCTTACCTCCGTTATAATGCCTAATTAATCCTGCTAGCACATACTGAATACAATTTAATTTCAAAGAGGATCTGGAAAAGCGTAAACAGTGAGCACTTTGCATAAAGCAAAAGACAAGTTGACTGATAATTAGTTTAAAATGCGTCATTTACAGGTTAAAGGTCTTTAAAAAGCTGCAAAAGAGAAAAATGTAGATTGGCACACTGCCTATTTATCCTACACCATGGAAGCAAACAATTTTGTACTGATTAAGTAAGAGCACTTTACTAAACTTCGAAGATATTTTCTAATGCCGATTCATGCACTGCAAAGTCCAACCAGCGAGTCCTGGGATTCTCGTTATTGCAGTTACATTATTTACTTGCATTCTTCTGCTCACAATTCAGGAAGATCTGTCATTGGCGAGCAGGAAGGAGGGCAGCATTAACAAAAAGCTGTGTCACTTCGTTTCGAATGAAAAGATGGCTGAAAAGTCACGCATAAGTCAAATTGATGCGCTTTTCAAAAATGAGTAAGTCCAATACTTTGCTGCTAATATGCGCATTCTCATTTTAGACAATCATCTAAACTGTGAAAGATTGTATTCACACAAAGCCAAGCCTGAGTATGCAGTAGGCAGTAGCGTGAATACTCTAAAAGTAGATTTGGAGTTAAATACAAATTATAAGCCAATACCAGTGAGCGAGAGACAATTTATTAACTAATATACTCGAAACATATTGACCTCTTTATGAATCGTTGTGTTCTAAAATCATCCCACTTTTCACCTTCTTAAATTAACAAACATAAAAATTGGGGAGTCAGTATTCAAAAAATGATTTTATGCTAATTTTTCCAACTGACCAGAAGATTTTGAGAGCTGTTGTTCCTTTCTCACGTTGTCGACAGTTCACAGTTAGCTGAATTTGTGAGAAGCATTCATTCAAAGGCATGCGGTTTGCATCAGAAGTCTCAAATCCTCTCAAATGAACAACGACGCATAAAAAAGGAGGTAAGACTCACAGGTAACGCAGGACCACAACCAAAAATATTCCCATGTGCATATTTAGTTGTCACACTAAAAAGATTTTTTGTGTTTTACGTGTATTTGATGTACTTATGCTCTTCACTAAAGTAGGTACTTTCCCTAACTGTCTATGACTCAAAATATTTACAAATACCAAACGATGCCTTACTTTAAAAGCCACAGATACAACCTCCTGCACCTGTTTTAGGGGATTATGCCTTATTATGTCTGCGATGACTATGTGAATTCACCAAAACTTCTTGAAGGATTCCTTTTGGAGTCACCTGTTGGTTATTTGACCCGAAGTTGCCAGCTAGGTATGACAAAGCGGAGTATCACAGGCGTCAAAATAGGACCCACAGAAATTCATGAAGCAAATTCCTTTCCTCCTTATTTCCTATCGCCTCACTAAATGTGGAGACACATTTTAGGATGCCTTAACTATCACTAGTATATGGGCAATCCAAACCTCGTAATGCGTCAGCTTTTTCGAAGTGTAACTAAAGTCTTGCAGAATTACAATCTTACTGCGCCTAAAAGGAGTCACCAATATTGATGACAAACTCAAAATTTAAGCTCATTACTAGTTGTTGCTCTTATTATTTTAATGTCGCTTTAAATCCATGAATTCATTTTACGTTGATGCTTTTCGTCGTGAGTTTTTTATGACTCTTGCAAGCGGCTTTATGGAAGTGCACGATTTTGTGTGTATCTGTGTACACTGCAAAGCCACTGAAACACAATTTGCATTTCCGATTCAGAAAGAAAGACTAGAACAGGAAAAGCGTTTGCTAGAGAAACTGATTGCTGAAAACCGCGAAATTGAGTGCAACGAAAGGGTAGCGGAATATAATAAAAGGAAATCTCTGCGAGAAGCAATAGAGAAACAGGTTGGAGTGCTTTTAATGCAGTCATATGCTACTAAACTAATCAAAATTGTTTACTTGGTTTTACCTGATTCTTCTAGGTCGCTTCTGACCCCACACTGCAGTGCAGCGATTTTGAGGCTGAGAGGAAGCGCTGTGAGGAAGTGGTAGCAAAAGAATTGGCTGACATTAAAGCGTAATTATTTGAGAATTGCTGTTTAGCTCCAAATTCTTGCTAAAACTAGTTTATTTGTTTCGGTAAAACAGGCACAATTTTTAATTTACAAGAATCTAACGGATATCAAAGTTAAATGAGAACCTTAGTGTGATAAAAATCAGAGCTGCAGCAGACCTAACTGGTGTTCTCTTAGTCCAGAGATGATTGCATCTTTCATCTGACTCTTAAATTCCATTTTTGCAACTTCTTGGTAACCTTACATAGAGCATAATCATGTGCTGAAAACTCGACTTCTTCCTAACAAATTCAAGCCCAGTGTTTCCGTGTTGAGTGGAAAAATGTCGTTTAGCCGGCACCTCGGTATCTGACTACGGGGTTAAGTCGTGTATAAACAAGTGCTAATCTAGACGAAACAGTGTTTATGAAAGATGATTTGCAGTTATGTGGAATGCTACAATTTGGAGGTCGACGTAAGGTAACGATCCTGTCATCAAGTTATTTTTTTGTAACAAAGCATTAAGTTTTTTGCGTAGCCAGGGCCATCAAAATTAGAGACACAACTCTCAAAATTGCTAAAATTCATAAACATTTAAAATTCAACGCTCACAAATAGCTTACATTTAGTCCCATTACATTAAAATCGCTTGATTACATAAAAATATGCCACATTTTGCTGTAATAATTGATGGGGCAAAGTAAGTAAGTCCAACATGATAAAAAACTCTGTATCCAGACTCCAAAAGGTGACTAATTATTAAAACATTTTACATTTTGAAGCCTTTGCTGTTGTCTAGATTTAAACCTCAATTACTGGCGATGATATTATTACTGTGAAATTTAAAAGCATCAACTTGTAAATTTTCAGCTGTATAAATTATGACATTTTGTCGATTTAGACCTAGCGAAAATGCGTAGATTATTGAATAATCATAAAACCAAATATTATTACTGTGCAAATTAGGTTTCAATGAAACTAAAAAGAAAACGTTTATGGAAAGGTTTGTTGACTGGAAGTCGGCATGCGCTTTGCTTTCTTCCAAGCAGAGCGCACACAAAGACGTAATTTCCCAACTTCTAACTTAACTAAAATTGTGTGACTCAATAGTGAAAAGGAGGCTGCTTGGCGCCGGAAGCAGGAACTAAAGGCGAGCAATCTGGAGACGCTAGCGCGGCGCCAAAAGGAGACGTCTGAACGACGACAGAGTGAACTTGACTTCGAGAAAAATAAACTAAAGGAATCTGATGCCCTATTTGAAGCCCAAGATGCCCTGCGAAAAAGACCCTACAAGGTAGTCAAGGAGCTGTGCAAGAAGCAGGCGAGTCCGAAGCTTAGTGTCGTTTCTTTTGACATATTTGCCATAATTTAAATCTGTTTCAATCCATGCAGAAGGGTAACACGCAGGCACTAAATTTTGGTAAACTGCCTTGTAGTTTTGATGCGAATGCTATTTTAACCATGCGTACTGTAAAAGGGTTAGTCACGTTCGTATCTGATTACATAAGATTTGACATTTTTGTACAAAGATTTAGTTTCTCAGCAAACGATAATTTGTTTTAATCTGTATTAAAGTTTGCTGGTAACAGTTTCTATCGACTGAAAGTCCATTAGCCAAAATATGTGGAATTCAAAGAGTTTATTGGCTGCACGTTTTAAGGATGATCTAATTTGACTAACCCCACAGGAAGTGGCTGCCACAAACCTTGTTGAGGTGCTGTGTGCGGAGGAGAATGGCTTGGCGAATAGAGCTACAAAAGCTTCACAGGAGGCTAGAATAGGTCGTGAGATCCTCCTCTCCGTGCAGGAAGCCGACGAGATATTCAACGAGCCCGTGCAGCGAACCAAGGAACAACTGGACTACCGCACAAGCCTCAACCGCATTCGTGAATTCAAAGAAGCCATGGCTAGAGTTAGTTTGCAGATCACAATCATTGCTACTCAAATTCACAGTCCAATTTCACTGGGCCGTAGTCAAACAACAGGTCTCTTGTTAGCTGTATAATAGACAATCAATGATCCAAGTACTATGGGTAGAATATCTTGCCATAAAGTCATTGTTATACAGGATTACTAATAAATTGAGTATTTTGGAGTATAATTAACGGTGATACTGAAAAACTACTCAATATAGGATAAGGCTGAGTTTCTTTAGATTTACTGAATCTTCTTAAACAAGAAGAGTAACGTGGAAACATTTTGTTCCCAATCACTGGTGGATCCAGTTAACCTAGATTGTTGAGGTTTCCATTTTTTAAATTCAGCAAGTTAGTTTACACACACAAACACACTTCTTTCCAGATACTTCCCTTAAATTCATACAGAAAATCATCACGGCGAATGGTTTACATGGTCAACATAAAAACTCAGTGTAGGCCTTCATGTGGTGGTAGCCATTGGTATTTGCTTATGAATATGTATAAACACTTAAACCTAACGTCCACAATCGTGCGAATTTAATGATCCCATAGGATGAAAAAGAGCGGCAAAGGCAGGCCGATCTACATTACTTGGCAGCAAGTGAACGCGAAGAGGCTACATTGAAAAAGAGGGATGAATTCCGACGGTTAGCTGGCCTTGAAGTAGGCAAATGCCTTCGGGTAAGTGTTTCTACCAAATCACAATCAAACTTCTCACCAAAAGTAGAGAAGTGTGCCAAGAGCACATTTTCACTACTCACTAAAAGATCCACGGATAGTTTGCCGTAAATAATAGTAGATCACAGTCATTTGTAATTGCTACTTTTTGACGTTTTTTAAGGAACAAATTAGTGCAAAAGAGAGGGAAATACGATTGCAGCGACAGTCGGACATCGAAGCTGACAAGAAACGGGACGCTGAAAGACAGAAACATGACGACGCAGTTGAGGCCGAAAAGCAAAAATTACTGACTGCTTTCGAAGCCTGGAGGTCAAACTTTTCACTTTTTCCTGCCAGTGAGACAGTCGAAGATCTACGCCAAAAGATTCAGTGCCGCAAAGATTTGGCCACGTCACATTGGATTACCGTAAGCAGGCTTAGCACTCTATTGACATTTCTTAAGAGTTGATTTTGCCAAGAAGATCTCTAGACAGCGGTGAAAATGTGTGTGTTTGTATGTGTGTGCGTGTGTGTTGGAGTCTTGATTGATCGCCAAGGGAAACAAAGAGCCGCACACTCCACGTCTCACATCTAATTCTGGTTGGCCATCTTGTCTCCTTCTGTTTTTGATAAGCATTCATAAATGGATTATCTGTGGCCATGGATGGAGAAGCAAGGTTTTCCAACATTATTTCTAAAGCGTTCAACGTAGTCCAGGTAGCCAATTACCTGTGAATGGATTATTGTGGGGCAAGGAGAAAACGAATACGATTCAATCGATTTACTTGAAGGCACTTGACGCAATTATGTTCGTTCAGGGATTCATGTTTAGCGATGCTTGTTTTGTTGTACATAAGCTCACCGGTATCCGCATTTCTTCTCCTTCTTCGGTCGGGCCGTGTAAGTGTAGATTGTTAGCTCTAGTATAGTTCTGCAGCAAAATGAAACATCGCTCCCCTGGATAAATGGGCCTGGCTAAAAAACCTATCTGAAAAGGGCAACCTTTCTGTTGAGTAAACTATGTCATGTGTACATTTCTAACGAATAAATTCCGTGGAGTAAATGAAACTAAACTGGTCTGACCAATAAATATTGGTAAAGCTATATCTTTTCTGTAAGTTAATCACACTCGACAGTTGCCTAATAGCTTAAACCCTTCTGAAAACCTTTAGTATAGAACATGAAGTGCCAAACGCGATACTAGCAAGAGCCTACCAGCACTATTTAGTGTGCAAAGGACTGTGCGCTATTATTAGACTATCAATGTGTTTTAAGAGAGACCAATTTTGTTGGTGTAATCATCATGGACACGGAACCTCGAAGTCAGGCCAAATTCGCGGAGAGGGTGCCTTTGATCCCATTACCAGAGACTAATGATTAAACCAAGCGCATATTATATTGACTCTTCTGATCGTAATACAAAATCAACTGTGGCGCTGTCACCAGGACCTTTAAATGCAACACGTACACGTTGTATCCACCAGATGTCAAAGGTCAACTGTTAAAATGAGGCAAAAATCCTATAGAGTTTTAACTACGTGTGGAAATGATATCTGTGTACCTGAAACCAAAATACATATTCACCATGGACACTAATAAAATGCTACAATCCCGTTTAAAATGAATGATACCTCCCAGCTTGTATTACCAATGGATCGTTTTAGCTGCTTCCTTAACTTTCACCCACTTTCAGCATATAACATCGTCATCTCATGTACATGGTTTTTTTTATATTTTAGGAGACCCATGAAAACTTTGCTACCTGGCATTCGGGCGAGTCTTTGGATCCATTGGGCCCGAAACGTGCGTCAAAACTCATTTGATCGTCCAGCGATTTGCCTACTTGGCAAGACCAGTGTTTAATAAATACGAACTAAAATTTCCCATTAACTCTGATAAGCACGGAAATGAGGTAGCGACTGCTCTAGTTCAGAGGATTTTGGCTTTTAATACCTAAGTTATCTGCACAGTGATAATTACCATCTATGTCCCAGACACCAAAGCTCATCGATGATGTTTCGCGTCCCCAATAGCCATTTTCGCAGAGACTAAGGCTCTATAACTTTATCAACGTCTATCACCGTAGGATAACTGCTCTCCAGACCTATAACTTTCGGTTCGAAAAATAATGTTAAAAGCTACCATCCGTGTGCGGCCTCTCAGGGTGTGCGCAATTATCCGCGATATCTTCGACAACGACCCCACTACTCTTTCTTTATGCGTAGTTGCTATTTTCACAAAGTCAGCTAGAACTTGTAACGCACGAATCGATCAATGGTACACATGTTCTTGCGCGAAATAATTAACTTTAAGCCACAAATTCCACTATAATACAAAATTCCTTCAATTTGCTTGCGGTATATTAGGAACCCCCACGAGTAATAACGCTTTAAGACTAGATAAATATTGCCGCTGTTTCCATGGTTACGATTTAATGCATGGCGATCTAATCTATCAAGATTCAGTATGATCGTTGAGAATTTATAGCTGTGTTGTGAAAGGAAAAGCTAAACAGTGGGAATCACTCGAGTAGACATTTAAAACCTTAAGTTAATCCTCAGGTTAATCCAAAACTGCTACTTTGGTTTATGTGTTTACAAACTGCGATCTTGGTCTTTGGGGACGAATGAATATGGTAAGACCCTGGAGTGACCTAAAGTCGAATTTGATTCCAAGCAATTCATTCATGAACTAACAGCAAAGTCTATAGCACAATGTCCTGCAGGATAACAGTGACTGCAGCCACTAAAGGCACCTATCAGAGAGAAATAAGACCATCAGAAAGTTTGCAGAAGTTTTGTGGGTGACTTTACAAGAGTGAAATTACAGTAGTTATCTAGATTTTGCTTTTTGATATCGTTAAAGTATCAGATTTCTCAATGGATTTCATGATAGCCTAATCAGGCATATCGAATATATACCACCCATGTCCAAAAATGCAAGAACAAAATGAAACAAGTGAATAATAATTACAATATTAAGATCGATTATTATTGTGAGGGGGTGGAGGTCGTGGAAACTGCCACTTCAAAAGAATAAAAGGGCTGGAAGGACTCAATGAAACCACAATCGGCAAAGAAATTCGGAAAAATCCATAAACGTACTCGTCCAAGACTACCGACAAGGATTACGACGTAAAGTACGGCTCGAACAGCAGCCAGGAGTAAGAGAGCACCAAGGAGTGCAAGCGCCGCGAGGGTGACGTAATAAGCCGCTTGTCGAGCCTGCCAAGGCCACATGGGAAAGGCGCAGCAGACAATTACGCCAATAATTAGCGCTAGACCCAGGAACAATGTCGTGGCACTGGGCGGTGCCTCGTAGACCCATATGTACACATTTTCATTGTCGCCCTCAGCCTCATTTAACACAAAGATCTGATCACGAGCGTATTCTAGGCGCACCGGTTTTTTCCGTTTCGCACTCGTTGATGACGAAGATGAGAAAAGAAAAGAAATGTATGATTCTCCGCTAGTAACGGAAGCCTTCTCGTTCTTCAACTTGATTGTCGATGTGGTCGTAGCTGATTTTTCCGAAGGAGAGGTAGTGGCAGAGCTCTAACGAGCAAATGGCTTGAGTTGAAGCAATGAAACGCACAATACAAGGACATAAGTACAATGTGAATAAAGGTGACAGAATTGGCATATGAGTTGACAATTTGGCTCTACAGATACCGTTATAAAGGGACTGAAAAATTAGAGCGCAGTCACAAGGCAATCGACCTGTATACAGCTCATGATATTTAGAAAACGATTGCATTCCACGCTTCGAGTTGCAAGGGATTTAAGCAGCAAAGATTCATGAGTTTGAGTATCAAGTGTCATGAATCCAAAAAATGACCAAACAAAAGTTACAGCTCCAACATCGAACCCAAAAACAATCACTAAAATTCACATTACCGTTGCTTCTTTCTTGTCGGCGTCCTTTGATTCGGCATTTTTTCGGGCTTTAACTTTTTTTTCGTCTTCTTTCCGTTTTAATTGGGTCTTTCTTTTGCACTTAATTGCCCTAAACAGCTTACTTAATAGAAATCACCTATACCTTCCTATCAAATTTTTATCTACAAGTTTCTCCATAAAACGAACAGCCAAATCAGAATTTGAGAATTGTGGAGATTTCACGTCTCGGTCCTTAGATTGAACTTTAGCCCAGGGTGACTGCAGGAGGCACTCGATAGCAGCATTTGCATAAAAGAAATTGACTCGGCATCCAGCAAGTCGACCTTCTTCTGAATGAAGATTTCTGTACAAGTATTTGCACACTTCCAGCTCAAATGGTGATGGTTGCAACGCTGCATTATGCGAATCAGCATTTTTCAATTTTCTACGTTTCTTGGCGTCCATAATTAAGCAACCAGGTGGGCAAGATTATTAAAAAAAATGAACAGATGGGTTACGCCAGGGGATACAAATCGACGCCACGTCTTGATTCATTAACCAATCGCCTTGGTGGATTTTGAAGAAAAGTTCAGTCAATGTGCAAAATTAGAATTGGTCTCAAAAAGCATCCAAAATTAGTAACTAATAAGATTTAGCTTTCATGCGACGTTTTGGTAATTGCAACAATTAACATTGCACAAGCATTCCGCATTGTACTTACCTGACAAAATTTTGATGAAATTTCGCAGCACCCTCTCACATATGCAACTATAACATAAAACATTTACTTTTTTATCTTTTATCTTCTAATTTATAAGCTAAAAATGATATTTACTATTCTTTCATGCTTGAGTCATTTGTTATCGACAATAGTCTCAAAATGTCCAGTAAATCTTCCTATTTTGAGGACTACAAATAAGTGGAAATTTTATTTTAGCCATAGCCTGATGGAAGCCTGGGAGAACTGAATGTCTGTTGGAATTATTGCCCTTGTTAACTTCAATGTAAAATAAATATTATTCCTATGAATCGGACAAAATTGATTTTTTTTAGAAATAACGGGGGGCAGTATAGACAGGGCAATGATAGTCAGTTACAGGCCGTCTACTCGCGTGATCTTCATCTGTAATTTGTCAAAGAATCAATCAGAAACGTTTTAATAAACAGTCTGTCAACTGAAATTAACGAAACAATGCGCCAGGAAGGATAGAAATTTCTTACAGTCTTTAAAGGTTGTTTAATTAAAATTTTGTTAGAAATCCTGTCATAATTGCTGTAAATTCAATCATTTCGAATATTATGTTTTTGAGTGCTTTGCTATGATTATAGACAATTTTAGAAGGGCAAGAGTGACCAATGTAACATAAAGTTTCATTGACATTCCTCTTGACAAGAAAAACTAAATCAGAAGCAATTTCTAACAATTTATTTTACAGTTTTTTGACAGACTTTTAAAACCGCGCCAAAGAACCTTTTTTTAAGGTCCTGGAACGCAGGGTACAAATTACTAAAAAGCCCCTATTTTAAAACTTAAAAACACTTTTAATTTCAGATTTTTCAACCTTTGACACAGATCGGCGAAAATCCGCATTAATTAGAATAAAAATGAGTACGAGTTGCTTACAGCCTGGATTAGGTCACAAAAAAGTGGTGTCGAGAATTGTACTGGCAGTAATAGAATAGATTGCTTACGTTATTTTATTGCTTTTAGTCAATTTTTGGTTGTAAATTACGACTGCATTCCTTGGAACAGTCTTTACGAGAACCTAAATTCACAATGACTTTGACCCGACATTGAGGGCATAAATTTTCGCAATCACGAATAAGTCTTTGCAGATTTCATGTCATGATTTATAAAAATTTGTGTTAGGATTAAAAATTATAATAAATATGCCAATCTTAATGAAACATTCATTTACTAACATTACGTAACCGAGCAATCGTTGTTAAACATGTCCTGTAGCTGTCGACCAATATTACATTCAGCACTGTGTATATTTTGGGAAATCGTTTATAAAAATGCCGGCGTTTTCAAAATGAAACAGTTTCTTTTGATAGTCTACTTGTTAACGCCGTCGCATAAACACTCAGGCCACATGTTGAGTACAGTCAGCATGTCACAGTCATAAAATGCACCTGCCGCTGTGTCTCTGATGTCATTCAAAAACAATGCTATCTCAAAAGTAATGGTCATCATCCACCGATCCCACAACCTTCATGCATTATCTTGAGGTGGCGTCGAAAAACCTTTTTTAGCAATTTTGGAAGAGCAAGGTTAAATTAAGGATGCGAAACCTTGTTTAAAACAACCAATACTGCGTGTCCTTGCATTTCACCAATCTTGACGTTTCTCATTAGAACTCGAGTTAGCTTGCTGAGGTGGTGGGTTGGTGGTTGTTGACGGTAGTAGTGGAATTTTTAGAAGCGACTTCCCTGCAGCTTCAGCTATTCCACTTATCCTACGTTGCTTGTTGTATGCTTGCTATCCACTCTGAACTCAACCCTTATCTTCTGCCCGCTCCCACAACCGCCTTAATTTCATTCATCATTTCGCATTTGCTGTAAAGTCGGCATGTAGTTTCGATAAATGCCTGCTTCGTAGTATACACGCTCTTAGTGAAAGGCTAACTCAGAGTGTATATTTCTAGAGTTTTTGTGTTCCCTCATTTTTGACTAAATTTTAGATCGTGATACAATAAAACCAGTTTCCCCCTTGCAAAATGTCTGAATAGTAAGTTGCTTGTAGCTACTGCATTTCTTTGGTTAGTGGTTTTGATAGAGTTGGTTGTTCCATGTTATTTGCATGATGCAATCTAAAGTGTAAAGTTGTATGATTAATGTGTTACAAATTGAATGCTCCTGGTGACCCAGTGTATAATAATGTGTACGTTGTGTTAAGCCCAAAGGCGAGCGTGGGCTCGAGTACTTTGATTTAGGTAATAAGTTTTGTTTTTTTGTAGTCAAAGAGGACGTGGAGCCAGAGGACATGGAGGCCCCAGGGGTATGCCATTTTGTGTTTGACTTCCATTACACGTGTGCTGTGTTCTTGATGCACGTAGAAATAAAACTTGCTGTTAGATAGTTCCAGTGGCTATATCACTATGTATTCGCATGAAACATAATTAACGGTAGTGGTCATTGCTGGTGATCCATTTGTCGGTTCCTGGAATAATCTGTTTAGAACTAGACTGGCCGTAACATTTCAGTGATTTACGTGGACACGCGGTGTTTCGATGCTGAATGTTGGTTTGTGGATGAACGCAATTTGAGGCCACGGTATTGCTGTGTATTTAGCCGTTGACCGGTTGCTGGGCTGTTTCGGTTTTGTTTGTTTAATTTAAGTGGGGAGATGTAGCCGGTTCTAGAGGAGTTTGGTGGGAATAAGTTGCGCGAAAGACAATTTTTTGGTTGTCCAATCTTTGTGTCAATGAGACGTAGGTTGTGGGTGTAATGGTTGACCTCTATAGTGAACAAGCATTGTCTTCTAAAATGCCGGAACTGAAACCATAAGTTTTTGTTCAGAAGAGGTCGAGTTTGGAATGTAGTCGGCTACGTTTGTTATCGTTATCTGATCTGCGATTTCTTCGACCACACTTTCGGCTCCCCAGTAGCCTTGAAAGTCTAATGCATTTGAAGTGAATCTGATTGACTGCTGAAAGGTGGTATTAGGAATGTTGAGACAAAGCCGATTAAGCAGGCCAGGGAACTTTATTATCTCACCTACAAGATGATCAGTTGGTTTGTAGATAAACAATGGATGTGTGCATGATTTTAGGTGGAGCAGATAATCGCGGAGCCTGGGGTGGCAGAGGAGGAGGTGGAGGTGGATTTCAAGACCGAGGTGGTAGAGGAGGAGGCGGTGGATTTCAAGACCGAGGTGGTAGAGGAGGAGGAGGCGGTGGATTTCAAGACCGTGGTGGCAGAGGTGGAGGAGGCGGTGGTGGTGGATTTCAAGACCGAGGTGGTAGAGGTGGAGGTGCTGGATTTCATGACCGTGGTGGCAGAGGTGGAGGATTTCAAGACCGTGGTGGCAGAGGCGGTAGAGGTTTTCAGCACCAAGGTGGTAGAGG